CATCCCTGCCCTTTTGGCTACCCTGCCAGGCAGCTACTGGCGCTCTGCGACGCCTTGCAAAGGGCCAGCAGCTGCCTTGGCCAGGCACACCTCGTCAGCAGCGGGATGAGGAGAAGATGGTGGAGGCCAGGTGGGGGCGGTGGGGGGCAGCAGGGGTAAGCGGTGGCAGAGTGCAGGGCAGCCAAAAGGGCAGACATGTGGGGGAGATAGGCGGATGAGGAGGGTTGAAGCTCACACTGCGATCATAAACGTGGACGGGGCGCCAAGCACCCAAATTTTGATCACCTGATCATGGGGGCACTGCAATGGCCGTAACTTTGAGGACTAGTCGTAGCTGCCATTTGTTCAGCACTGTTGTAACTTTGAACAGTCACTGAATGAATGGTCATTAAGCGAGGACTATCTGAAATATTCTTCAGAAATTTTGAGCTGCTCCAAAGATCTGCAAAGCAGCATCACTCCAGGTGTGGAGGAAACGTAGGCCGGCTTCCTCGTGGTAGTCCTTTGGATTCCGCACCCATGTTCCAGGAGGGCAAGGGGAGGCAGAATGGCTGAAAGAGAGCGATGGGGAGGGTGGGGTATCTCTGATTTTCCAAAAGCATCTTCAACCCAGGGGTAGGCCACCTTCTGCTGGAGGTCTTTGTGCAGAGGCTGGCAAATGGTGTTGCCCCAGGGGGATTGTCTCGGATTATGGTCACACAACACCCTTGACCAGTTCAAGACATAGCAGTGCATTTGGACCAAGCATGACGTTTACTTAGTTTTAAACCAGGTTAGTTTTTTGTGGCCTAGCAAGTGGGGCTAAGTCAGCCACTCTGGTTTGGAAGCCATGGTTTATGGATCCCTCGTTTTGTGAATTTGCCCAACTGAGGTTTATTGAATAAACCACGGCTTAGTGTGTTGTTAACGCGGCTGCAGGTTTTGAGCGTTCTGTGTAATACAAGCCCATTGTGGTTCATTCAGTAAAATCTGTGGAAGCCGAGCTTGTTCTGAATCCAGTCCTTGACATACCTCTCTTCCCCAAACCTCCACCTTTCCGTTCACTTGGCCAGTGGTTGTGTTCCTCCACCTTGGCAACTTCCAGACGCGTGGACTTCAACTCCCAGAATTATTATTTGTTTATGTACATTGTGTTTATTGTATGTTAATTAGTATTCTTGTTTTTTTTGTAAACTGCCCAGAGTCCGTCCTTGAATGAGATGGGTGGTGACTAAATTTGAAATATAAATAAATATAATAAAGCGGGCAACTGGATGACGTGAGCCCAGCCTCCCAAGTGTGGCAACCACAGTCTGTTCGAGCTCGTTCTGTCCTGAACTTTTACATAGTGACCTTCTGGGTCAAACGTGGGAAGGAACGGCAGGAGCCAAGGACAGAACAAGAGAAATAATCTGAAGTGCTCACTCTGTTCTCCGCCCCCGGAACGCATCTATCTTGGAGCACAGATGTCCAAAGTTGGAAAGAGTGTGCGGGCTTCAAAAGACATCTTAGTGGTTGGTGTGTTTACTGAATTCCACGGCTGAAATTGGAGCTTCTGGATTCGTTGAGGTGTCTTTTCATTTCACAAAAGATGTGATCCGGTCTTGATCCAGGATCCTCCAAGCTTTATGAAGCATTGCTCAGAGGAGAAGGAGCTTGGTTAAACTAGCGCTGACCTGCTTTGCGGGGCTGTCGGGAAGGTTGTGAACAAAGCACTGGCTAAGTCCTGGGGATCTGTGAAATCGGCCTGTGGTCTTCATGAGAGGTGTTAGCGCCACGCCCGAGGCCAACGCGCCTGGTAAATAAGCCAACATTCTGATAGTAAGCCAGACACCGAGCCACACTGATTCAATTGCGTGCGGAATGGTTGCCATTTGGGGGCAGACTTTGGGGACAAATTCTGTTTTCTGTAAACACCAAATGGATTTAGCCGGGATTGGAAGACTCACATTGGGGCGAAACACAGATGATGAAAGAAGAGGGCGGTGTGCTACGCATGGGTACGCCCGTGAACCAGGCTTTCTGGTTCGGTGTGCCATGTGAACATAGCCAGGGACTCATGCTTTCGTTGACTGAGATCATCCCATATGGCAGGCCCTGAACCTGGGTGTGCAAAACACAATTCCCACAACTTATTGTGCCCAAACAAAGAAACCACACCCTGGCTTTGTACGCCTGATTCACTCGACGTGCTAAGACAGCGGCTGGGTTTCCACAACACTCACAGATACCTCTTCCCAGTTGAGCTTCATTGAACTGATGGCTGAAGACTCACCACAGCCCAGAACCACAAGACATAACATCTGCTCCTATGCCTGGACTAATCAACCATATGATGACTTAAAAAATCAGCCCTATTTATAGCACACACTGCTGACACTGGCTGGATTCTCACCCTGGCCTGAGCCATGTGAGGTAAATCATGGTTAACCACAGTTAGACCTGGCAGATGAATTTGTACAGTATTGTCAGCCATAGTTGGGTGGGGGGGTTTGGTGCTTTCAAGTCAGCCTTGACTCCTAGTGACTGCCTGGACAAGTCCCTGCAATTTTTTTAGGGTTTCTTATTTATTAATGTCTGCCCACCTGGCCTCTTTAGCGATGGTGTGAACCCAGGTAATGGGCTTATTCCCTAATGAAGGTTAGCTTGTTGGGTGAATGCGGCTCTGAAGTCCGTCCCCTCTCTCTCAAGGCTTGATTTAGGCTGTGGTTCAATGAGTACACAAGAACAAACACTGTTGGTTGGTGTGGTCAGGGAACCGGGGATGTGAATGATACTAAGAGGCATTGGCCCCATTACACACTGCCCCGGGGTGCGTTTCTCAGCCAGCAAACACCGAACTCTGCCAAAGGGACGCATGCAGGTCAGCCCAAGGAAGACATCCCAGAGCTGTGTCAGCTCAAGCTTCCTTAGGCCAACAGCCCTCCTCCCCCCCACCCACTGCTTTCTGTCCTGGGCTGTACATGGCAGGGCCTTGCCCAACATTCGGTCCCTTGGAAGAGCTATTGCCAGGCTGAGACTGAAGGAAGGAAGACGGGCGGAAAAGAGGAGGAAGATGGAGACTCATGGCTTAGATGGAGTCGATGAGATGCTCCAAGAGACATGTTAGTTTATGGCAGCCCCAAATCAGGAGGCGTGTGGGATCACCTTTCAAGACTGCCAAATGTTACTCAAAGGCAGAAGCTGCTACTCATGGAAGTTTTGCCCTTGAAGAAAACTTGACCGTCGGAAAAGGGGCTCCCAGGTGAGAATTGTAAGGAACGAAAGGCCACCTGTGAAGCGGTGGATGGGGGTGCTGGAAGAGAGCTTGTGGGGGAGGAGGGAAGGGATGGAGAGGGGCAGTGGGTGAGCTGGTTTGAGGAAGATTCAGCGCTGTTTCCTCTTATCTCAGGCACAGAAAGTCCGGCCTGCTCTTCCTATCTCTTGTTGCAAACAGGCTTGTCCTGAAAGCGAAGCGATCACGGGGAGGGCTGTCAGATCTTAGGTGCAAAGTTCCAGCCAGCGGCCAGCAGCCAGCAAGAGAAGGGATTTCTGTCTGCTTTCCCGCCCTCTAGCGCCCGTCCGGTTGTTTGGAGCCCCGATGCGGAGTGGGAGGGATGGGCGCCGACTGCCCAGTATTCCCAGCCCTTGAAGCCCGCCCCAAGTGCGCGACTCCGAGGGGGGGGGGGGGGGTACCACAAAACCCGTCGCGTTCAGAAATAACCGCGGGAGCTGTGCCGCTCTTGGGGGCTTCGCTTCCATTTACTGAATGGCCGGCTGCGAAGGGCAGTTCAGGGAAGGTTAAGACGGCGGGCGTGGGGGCAGCCCCCCGCCGATGAAGGAGACTGATCGCTGTACACTCGCACGGCACCCTCCTTACAGGGTCGCAAGGAGGGTCGGGCCTCTTGGCCTTGTAAAGGTGAGGGGGGCCAAGGAGGAGGCCACGTCCAGACCCCTAAAGGATCGCGCCCGCCGTAGGCTCCGGAGAAGAGGGGAGCACGCGAGCACGCACGCACTTGGACGACCTTGGCCTGAAAACGCAGGAATGTCGCCGATTTGGTAAGAGGCGAAGAATCACCCCGACCGCGGGCTGCAGCGACGCTTCCGGGCACTGCCCTCTTCGCCCTCCCCCTCCGTCCCTGCCTGCCTCCCTCCCTCCGGAGGAGTCTTTATTTATGCGAAAGAAAAGAAGCGAGGCGGGGGG